AATTTAGCTACAAGATGGGAAAAGAATGCCAAAAGTTAATTCTGGAATATTATGGAAAGAAAGAACAATTTAATTGTATCTTTTGTTCTTAATAGAAAAAACTAACGGTTTTGTTTTATTCATGACTCAGTGATTTGACTGGTTAAGAATTTTTTATGAAATTCTAAAGCAAGGCAAGAAAAGAAAAAATAAATTAGACTTCATCAGATTTCAGAACATGCATCAAGAAACACTATCCACAGAAATAAAATCAAAACAAAAAAAAAACACTATCCACCGCGGAAAAAGGTAATACAGAATTGGAAAAAACATTTGCAAATCAGATATTTGGTAAGGAATTAATGTCCAAAATATATGAAGAACTCTGACAACTTTATAACAATAGTAAAACACCATATAAGTTTAAAATGGATGCCGGAACATTTCTCCAAGAAAAATATATAAGGTCAAAAAGAAGTTGAAAAGATGCTCTACATCTTGTCATGAAAGAAACATGAATCACAACCACAATCAATACCATTTTATATCCACTAGGATGGCTATTATTAAACAGAAAATAACAAGCAGTGGTAGGGATATAGAGAAATTGGAATCTTTGTGTATTTCTGGTAGGAATTTAAAATGACATAGTTGCTATGGAAAACCCAAAATTACTATATGATCTAGCATTTCTGCTTCTGAGTATATACCCAAAAGAGTTGAAATTAGGAATTTGAACAGATACTTGTATACCCTTGTTCATAGCAGCATTATTTACAATAGGCAAAAGGTGGAAACAACCCAAATGTCTATCAACTGATGAAGAGATAAATAAAATGTGACCTATATATACAATAATAAAGATTAAAAAAATAAAATTTTTGTAAAAAGAAGTGAAATTCTGACACATGCTGCACTGTGCATGAACCGTGAACACGTTGCACTAAGTAAAATAAGCCAGTCACAAAAGGACAAATATAAGATTTCACTTGTATAAGGTACTTAGAAGTTTGTAGAGACAAAGTAGGAATGGTGGTCACCAAGGGTTGAGAGGAAGAAAAGGGAGTTATTATTTAATAGATACAGTTTCAATTTAGAATTCTAGAGATGGATGGTGTGATGGTTACACAGCAGTGTGTATAAAGTACTTTGTGCTCTGTACTATATATTCAAAAATGGTTAAAATGGTAGATTTTATGTATATTTTACCACCATAAAAATACTAGAAAGAAGCTACCAAATAAAATACAACTGAATTTTAAAACTAGGTATCTATCTTCCAAACTACTGTTGAGTATACAAAAGTAGCAAAATAACATAGAAGAACAAGAAGCAAAAACTTGAAGATAGCATAAACAAGTTAAATGAATGGACTACACTGAAATGTTTTTAACTGTGATAGATAAAATAATATTAGCGTACAATGGCACTGTCTCATATATGCATTTAACTTAAACAAGTTCAATTACTTCTATTTAACAAAAGAGAAGGAAAGTTTCTCCTTGGAAAATCCTTCATGAATTCCTAAAACTAAATTAGGTCCTCTTACTCTCTTAGGACTCTGTCTTCTTAACAGAAATACTCCGTAAATAAAAACAGAACAAAAGATTTTTAAGAAAGAATTTTAAAAGTGCAAGTGTTTTGTGCTCTATGTACTCTATGAACATATTCTCATGAGGGAGTTTGAAATGGGAGGTATGAAACCTCCCATTTTCAAAATTCATTGTCCTCATTTGCCTTTTATAGTTGAAGCATCTTACCTTTATTCTGCTTCCCCGAGTGTGACTGTAGAGTTTAAAAGTGTCTTTTTGGTGCACCGTGGCCTCTAAACCCAAGCCAGGTAATTTTTGAGATGCTTAGTTGTAGATACAGTGATTCATTGCAAGCTGGGAGAAAAGAGTGGACTCTGGTGGATTTATTGAGCAGACAGAATGTCAGTTTCCACATGGTGCCTTCCTTAGGAAACTTCAACGGATTTTGACCCCACATGGTTTTTCAACTTATATGCCAACTTTGAACTCTACATTCCATTTAAAATGTCTCTACTTAAGTGAATAAAAAGGTATGAAACTACATTGTGATCTCAGTATGTATTCATTTAGAAGGATATATAATCAAACTTCGGTGTTTTTTGTTTTGTTTTCTGCATACTTTTCTAAGAATTTTCTAAGATAACAGGTCAATTTTTTTTTTAAGGTGGCAGAAACCTTTCAGTTTCCGTTTATTTATTTTTTTTCAATCCAAAGATAATAAAGCTCTTACTGTGTTTCAGGGATGTGGAAAATAAAAATGGCCCCTATGATCAGGCAGTGCATGTTAAGGTGGAGGAACAGATTAAGCAAATTAAATAGACCACAAATAAGTACATGATTACAAATAATGAGTGTTAAGAAACAACAAAATCCTAAGAGCATAATAAGAGTACCCAGTTTAATTTTAGGAGCTTATGAAGGATTTTCCAAGGAAGAAGCAATATTTGAGCTGAGATCTAAAGGATAAATGTCAGTGAGGAAGGCAGGGTAGAGAGTGAGAGTGTTTTGACCTGAGGGAGCAGTATGGCTAAAGTCACTGAAGCAGGGAAGTTTGATACATTTGACAGTTGAGAAAAAGGCAGTGTAGGTAGAACAGAGTGGTAGCTAGAAATGGATAAATGTAAATACGTCCAAGATCATGCAGGGTTTAGAGCAAACCATATTAAACCATTTAAATTTTATTCTAGTAGGCAATTGTGGTTTGACTTACACTTGTAAAATTTATTCTGGAGAATGACATGTAGATGGGAAAGCAGGGGAGCCATACTGGGGAAGGTATTGGAGAGGGTCAAGAAGTGAAGTGAGGATACTACTTAGTTAGAAGGCTATTGATGTAGTCAGTGCTAGAGATGGTAGTATTTAGGGTTAGAGAGTAATAGTGATACACATGGAGAGAATCACCATGGAGAGTCCATTTATTTTTAGGAAGTAATTCCTCCTGGACTTGGTGATAGAATATGGTGAGGCATAAGGAGGTGAAAAAAATGATTTTTAGTGTTATAGAGTAAGCAAGCAACTGGGTGAATAGATATACCATTTACTGAGATGGAGAAGTCTAAGGGAAAAGCAGATTTAAGGAAGATAATAAAAAATATATGCTTTGTTCATGTTAACATGAGATTCCTATTCCACATCCACATAGAGATATTAAATCTGTAATTGAATGTAGGCAGAGTCAGTTTACAAGTGTTAAGGGTTTATGCAAGGGCAACACAAATAAGGTGATACTATTCACATCATAAATGTATGGTGTTATGAAACAAGTGGGCATGAAGTTTCAAGAACTCCTGTCAGAGATGTGGAATAGTAGTGTTAACTCTCTTCCTGCCCCAAACGTAAATTTACACCTACACATCCAGCAGCTGTGCATAGATGCAGGACAACAAGTACACACACACTGATTGACATACACACATGTATATGGCTCTGTTCTTTCAACTGCCTCTCAGCACTGCTGAGATTGATTCACTTGCTCATCCATCCACTACTCTCAGGAACTTAATTATTGTTCCTCATCTGACTGAAGCTGACATAGTCACCTCTCTTGGAAAATGAATGGTGGTGGTAAAGGTAATGATGAGTGTGCATGTGTATTCTCCTGGCAGTGTGGAAGCAGTTGTGAGAAGAGGGACCCCCCCCCCCATGTATAGTTGCTTGTATTGTACCATAATATGTAATAACTTAGATTTTTTATAATTGAGGAAGGGACTGCTTTTCTAATTTCATCATAAAATGCCATAAGGGCTAGTTGTGTCCTGAATGCTAGAATCTGAATCTCAGAAGAAGGTCCCAGTTAGTGATACATATTTGTTGGTCATCAGCATATAGATAGTGTTTCATACATTGGTAATCTGATTTCACCCAGGATTTGAAGGAAGCCCAGTACTCACCCCTTAAGGAACTCCGACAATGAGATTTGGTAGAAGAAAAACATACTAGGGATTTGCCAGAGAGGTGGGGTGCAAATAAGAGAAAGTAATGCCATGGAAACTGAGAAAAATCCAAATAAAATCACTACTGTAACTAATAAGGCTTAGTAGTATCCTTGCACTCTGTCTTGAAAAATTCTTCATGGTGTATTAAGTACTTACATTGTACTGATGATATTGAACCCAGCTTTTATTGTACATACATTTTAGGTGCTCAAAAAATGCATGAAGTACAGAATCCCAGACTAGAAAGAAAAAAAAATTTGTAGAAGATAATTCTAAAGTTACTGCAAATTCTTATATGTCCAGAGATGTTCTTTTGCCACTTACATATGACAAATAAACTTGTCAGTGGATATAGGAGCATTGAAATTCTTTTAAAAATAGTTTCAAATCTTGTATATCTTTATTAAATGAACTTCCTTTCACTGTTTTGTCTCTTTTATTGTCAGAGTAAATCTTCCTAAAACATAGCTGATTACATTTCCTTTTATTTAAAAAATCTCAATGATACTGCATTTCATGTACAATAAAATGTACACTCTTTAGTTTGGGATTCCATGCCCTGCTAAATTTGTCCCAGACAATTATTTTTAATATTTCCTACCACTCTTTGATGTACTCTCATATTCTGTAATCTAGCCTGACCACAAATGTGTCTGCTGTTCTTATATACTCTGCTTTCCTGCCTCCTTGTCTACTAATGCTATAGCCTCTGCCTAAAATATCTTTATTCCTTCTGTGTTTTTAAAAAAAGCCTACTTATTTTCCAAGGTACAGTCTATTTTCTCCTTCCTCTGAAAACCATCCTGAGCTGGAAATTGTCTCCCTTCTGAAATATTAGTCTACTTTATATGTGTTCTCATTTGTTTCTCTGCTATGTATTGTTGTAATTTATTGTACATGTCTGACACCTTCAATTTGATATCTCCTTCTGATTATCCTAATGCTCCCATTGTAGTGCCTTCTTTTTTAGGTGGGTTAAGAGGTATATTTTTTTCCTTTCTTCAACTTCATGTCCAAATTTGTGTTAATTGTACTACTTTCCCATTTTTTTCAGGATCCAATGATGCCATTGCTCCAGACTTCCCAGCTCAGGTGCTAGGCACCAGAGATGATGACCTAGCGTTTACTGTTAATATTAAACATAAAGAAGGGATCTACAGTAAGAGGGCAATGGCTAAGGCATCCTTGTCAGTGGAGAAAAAACCCTTTCAGAAAGATAATGCAGGTAACTGGATTGCTTTTGTATGTTTTGTGCCTCCCCCTACCATTCATTTTAAATAAGAATATTAACCCGTCTTTATCTTTCACTGCTTTGTTAAACCAGCTTTTTTCTTAGCCATTTTATGGGTATATAGAAAATGTAGAATATTTATAAAATCTTTTAGAATGTGTCTTACTTTATTCTTACTATGGAAAATAAAATATTTTGCAACTTTTAAAATGAAATAATATCCAGTAGAGTATTTTTAGAGACTAGAACCCATAGAAAATCTTGATTAAATTGTCTGATGAGTTTATCTGTCAGATAGTACAAACTAGTGGAAATTTGGTAGACATAGAGAACCCTGTGATACCACTGACAATTGAGGGATGGAGAGAATATGGAAAATTTGACAAGGAACAAAGTGGAACTCTATCAGAAACCTGCTCAAAGAATTCACCAGCTGTAACTCACCCCTAGGCAGCATTTGGTGTATGAGAAATAAAAATATCAGTGGAAGGATTGAAATAGAAAAATGAGAAATTGCTTAGAAAATAGAACATAAAAAGAAGAGAAAAGAAAGGGAAAAAATGAAAATTTAGATTGGCCCAAAAGGTTCAATCTCAAAAAACGGATGTTTCCAAGAGACAACAGAAAATCTATTTATTAGAACCATATATACTCATTTTAGCATGAGTAAATCCCTGTATCATAATAGTGAGTGAAAAAGGCATGTTGCCTAAAGGTACATAGAGTATTATACCATTTATATAAAGTTTATAGACATGTAAAACAATCCTGTACATGTTGAATAATTAATGCAAAATAGTAAAAAAAAATAAATAAATCCTTGAGATTGATGAACTCTACATAAAGTTTGCTACTGAAAAGAAAGAATGGAGTCAGTGTAGTTTAATACATGGAATCATTATAATCATTATATCTGTAATGTTTTATTTCCTAAGCTCTGGTGTACATATTGGTGTTCATTGGCCTTTGTTGAAAATATTCATACAACAAAAAGATAGTAAATGAATTTCTCATCAACCTATTATAAAAACTGAACTATTATTAACTGATGACTGTTACCTTAGTTATATTGGTGAATTTTTAATATATTTACTAACATATTAGTTTGTGCTTATATTTTCTCATATGATAAAAATGTAAAGAACTGATTTAAAAAACCAGTAAGATAGACAAATCTCTAGAAAGTATGATCAAGGGCTAAAAAAAATATTGAAAGTATTAGACAAGTTTAAAAGGATATAACTTAAGATTTTAAAAATTTCATGAGTACTATATATAAAATGTACATAAATGCTTTATAGGATTATATGGAATATCAAAATTGGCTCCATAAGTAACAAAAACTTTGAGCGGGCCAAAGAACTTGAAAGGGTTGTTCAAGTATACTTTTCTACTCTGAAAAAGATACCTATCTAGACTTTTATTTACTGTTGTATCAAACTACAAGGACAGATTTTATTTAAATACTTTATTTAAACCATTGTTTTACACAAAAAAATACAGAAAGCTTTCCAATTCATGTCATAAATACACCATAACTATCACAGTTTTTACATCGTGGGGCCTAAGAAATCCTTTTTTCCTGATATATATAAAGCAATTTGGGATTCTGGGGTTGGGGGGAGTAGGGTTATTTGCCCTTTGTATTTACTATCTTTTCTTTCTCTGCGGTGTCAAATGATGATGTTATTTCAGATGCCCAAGTTCAAGTTTTTATCACTGGAGATGAGAACCTCTCAGGCAAAAACAAGAAAAAGGAGATCTACAATAAAAAGGCAGTGACTAAGCCTGCCCAATCTGAAGAAATAAAATTCTTGCAGAAAGACACTGCAGGTAGCTGAACTGGATTATCTGGCCTTCTGAAGTGAGAATAAACAGAACAGTATTATCTAGTCTCTTCTTGCTCTCTTCAATAGTCCTCTATCTTGCTCATATGTAAAATAAGATATTAGCTGTAATTTTTGTTATACATTGACAGGTATAAAACCAGATGTTTTTATAAAAACATTTTAAAGCTTTTTGAGACATTCCTGGAGAATTTTGTAAATATGGTACACAATTGCATTGACAAATTCACACAATAGACATTTGTTAAAAAATTCTGTGCTATGAGATGCTGACTTTCTAACACCGTTGTATAGAAGATTTTGTGCTTTGGGAATTTGGCTTGCTTACTTTTTTAACTAGCTATCCATTAAATTTACTTCAGTGGGACTATACTAATTAAAAGTGCCTATAATATAGCGTATTTAGGTTAGGATTAGTCTTGACTCTGACAGATGAAAACAAAAACAAAATAGCATTGGCTTAAAGAAGGCAGGAAATTATTTCTCTTTCCTGTAAAAATCCAGAGGTAGACATCCAGGGATGACATGGTACTCTAGATTATCAGGAAACAAAATTCTTGGTCTTCTGTTTCTCTTAACATTTTTAGCCTCCATTCTCATGCTGTAGCCATCTGGTTCATATCCCAGCCAGCAGAAAGGAAGAAAGGGAAAGAAAAAATTACAGCCCTTCTTTATAGTACTCCTCAAGAGTACATGTACTGTTCCCCTTCCATGCTATTGGACAGATTTTGTTACATGGTCTCACCAAGCTGTGCTGCCACAGAGGCTGGGAAATGTCTTTATTCCAGTAACTATAAGCACAGCTAAGGCAGGGTTCTATTTTAAAGGAAAAGGAAAATGGGTTTCAGAGGACAGCTGGGAGTCTGCCACAATGTAAACATATTTTAGAGCATACTTAGCCACCTCTCTTTATTTGTGTATTACTTTTCTTTTCAAAAGTCATATTCTGGTCAACACTTCAAAATTTTATCCCCCTTTTGAATGTTCCAGAAACACTCTTGATCATGTTAATCTCCTAATCAAAAAGTGTTCATTGCCCCTAAGAATAAAATCTTATTTTCTAGCACAGTCTTTCAAAACAGTAAAATCAGCTCCCAGATTTTCAAATGCTAATTTTTACCTCTTTTTCTTATAAATTCTATAATTAAACCATATACTTGCTCTGTTTCTTAAATGTTCATTTGCTTTCCTGATTCTATTCTTATGTAGTCGACTCTGCCTAAAATGCGTTTCTGTTTTCATCTCATGTATATCCCAGCTCAGCTATCTTTTATTATTATTATTATTATATTTCATTGATTATGCTATTACAGTTGTCCCAATTTTTCCCTCTTTTCCTGCCTCCATACAGCACCTCCTACTTCCTCAGACAATCCCCCCGACCATTGTTCATGCCCATGGGTCATGTGTATAAGTTTTTGGCTACTCCATATCCTATACTGTACTTTACATCCACATGGCTATTCTGTAACTACCTATTGGTACTTCTTAATCCCCTCACCTCTGCACCCATTCCACTACACCTCCCTCCCTACAGACAATCATCAGAACACTTTCCATATCCATGATTCTGTCTCTGTTCTTAGTTTCTTTTTTAAATTCAATTGTCAGTAGATTTGTATTTATTGCCATTTTATTGTTCATAGTTTTGATCTTTTTCTTAAATAAGTCCCTTTAACATTTCATATAATAATGGTTTGATGTTGGAAATAGCTTTAATATTTTCTAGTCTGGGGACTTCTTTATCTGCCCTTTGATTCTAAATGATAGCTTTGCTAGGTAGAGCAGTCTTGGCTATAGGTCCCTGCTTTTTATGACTTTGATAATTTCTTGCCAGTTCCTTCAAGCCTGCAAAGTTTCTTTTGAGAAATCAGCTGACAGTCTTGTGGGAACTCCCCTGTAGGTAACTAAGTGCTTTTCTCTTGCTGCTTTTAAGATTCTCTCTTTATCTTTAACCTTTGGCATTTTAATTATGATGTGTCTTAGAGTGGGCCTCTTTGTGTCCATCTTGTTTGGGACTCTCTGTGCTTCCTGGACTTGCATGTCTATTTCCTTCACCAAATTAGGGAAGTTTTCTTTCATCATTCTTTCAAATAAATTTCCAATTTCTTGCTCTTGCTCTTCTCCTTCTGGCACTCCTGTGATATGAATGTTGGACCTCTTGAAATTATCCCAGAGGCTGCTTCTACTATCCTCATTGTTTTTGTATTCTTTTTTCTTCTTGTTCTTGTTTTGCGCGGTTGTTGTTTTTGTTTTTGTTTTTGTTTCCTTAGATTCCAAACCATTGATTTGATTCTCAGGTTCATCCACTCTACTATTGTTTCTCTGTAAATTGTTCTTTATTTCAATTAATGTATCCTTTGTTTCTGACTGGATCTTTTTTATGTTGTTTGGGTCCTCACTAAGTTCCTTGAGTATTCATATAACCAGTGTTTTGATTTGTTCTTTCATTTTGGCCATGTTTCTTTGTCTCCTCATTTTGGTAGCCTCCCTGTGTTTGTTTCTATGTATTACTTAGAGCAGCTATGACTCCCTGTCTTGGTATCGTGGTCTAATGTAGTAGTTGTCCTGTAGGGTCCAGTGGTACAGCCTACCATATCACCTAAGCTGGGTGCTCAAGGTATGCCCTCCACATAGGCTGAGTATACCTTCCTCTTGTAGTTGAGCCTTTGTTGTTGTCAGCAGGTCAACAGGAGGGATCTACCCAGGCTAGTTGGCTGCAAGGATTGGCTGTGGCCACTAACCACCAGCCTCCGCCCTTCATGGAGCATCAGCTGCGCACAGGCAGGGTGGTGGTATGCCATCATGGTCTGTAGCTCTCCACTGGGTGTGCAGACCCTAGGATTTCCCGGGTGGTACAGTCCAAGATTAGCCCCTACCTGTGTTCTGCCTAGGAACACCCTGCATGAGCTATAAAGCAGTCTAAAATGGCTGCAACTTGTGCTGAGCTTGGAGAGTCCCAGGTGAAGCTAAGCTGTGACTTTAAGCTGTCTGTTCCTAGTGCCACACCTGGGACTACTTAGCAAGAGATGCAGGTCTGTGGGCTCACTGAGGCCTGCTGTGGCTTGTTTGAAAGGATTTAGGAAGTTGTAAAGCATGACCCAACACCAGCCATTATGAAAAAGTCACTTAATAGCTTGGGTGGGCCATAACTTGTGTGGGGCACAGCCTAAGGGAATTTTCAGGGTGGGGATGGAGTCTCAGATAAGGTTTCTGCCTACCAACTCTGTGGCTCTGTGGAGGGAGAGTTCAGAAAAGGAACAATAGCCTCTGCCCGCCATTCTATCCATGAGAAAACTGTCTCCCAGGTTTCACCTGGATGCCAGACACCTCAGTTCCTCCCTTATGCCCCTGGTGTTTTTCAAGCTGCTATCCTGGTGCTAGAGCTCAGAGGGAATAAGTCTCTGTAAGTCTATGTCCTTTAACAGTGGGACTGCTTGAGACTTTAGCAGTGTCTTCCCCCAACTCAATCCCTACTGGTTTTTTTGGCCATAAGTTATGGGGACTTATCTTCCTGGCACTGGAACCCTGGGCTGAGGGTCTGGCATGGGGCTGAGACTCCTCACTCCCGAGATACCGCTCCTGAATTTTTATCCACTGTGGGACCATCCTGTACCGCATCTCCACCCCTTCTACCAGTCTGGGTGAATATGGTTTCTTTAATTCCATAGTTGTCAGACTTACATTCAACTCGATTTCTAAGAGTTCTGAGTGATGGTTGTTCTATAATTTAGTTGTAATTTTGATGTGGTTGTGCGAGGAGGTCATCCATGTGCACCTACACTCTCGTCTTTACCAGAAATCCTTTAGCTGTCTTCTGACAGCAAATTTCACTAACTTTACTCCAGAGCTCTTGCATGATCCTCCCAGCTGGAATTAGTTTTTCTTCCTTTAAGTACTTACATTTCTTTATATATCTTTCTCTTATGGTGAAATTCTTTTACTTTGTATGATAATTATTTTTGTACATTTTTTAAACTCCACTTTAGAGCAGCAGTTTCTAAAAATACTCCTGATTGGTCTTTTAAATTTTCTTTTCTAACACCAGTAGTAATTGCTTTCATATAGTGGATGCTGGAGGGGTATTTTAAAACATCTTTTGCCAACTTCCTATTTGGAGAGGGTGTTAATTCCTCTTTCGTAGGTTCCAGTGATGCTGTTGCTGCAGAGCTCTCAGCTCAACTAAAAGACACAAAGATTGAAAGGCCACCAGACACTAAAGCCATTAAACAGAAAGAGGAGATCCATAGTAAGAGATCATTTCCTAAGGAAGCCTGGACAGAAGATAAAGAATCCTTGCAGATAAATATTGAAGGTAACGGGATTGGCTTGTATGTGTGTATTGGGTGGTGCTATGTCTGGTTTTGGGGGGCTTTTTTGTTTGCTTTTTAGGGGGGTTTTTATTTTGATGATAATATAGCCTCTTGATTGAAACAAAGATGTTTCCTTTTTTGCTTTCTTACATAAATTACCTCATTGCTACTTTGTCTCTTTGGGCGCTCATATAATTGTTACATCTAGGAAAAAATATTAGCAACTTAGAAACAAGATTAGAAATAAATACTTGATAGTATTACAAATGAAGTATCATGTCTCAGTATTGACTCAGGGAAACACCTAAAGGTATTCCACAAGACTGTAATAAAGACCAAAAGAACCTCAGTACAAATTTTTTAAAAGTTACAGTAAAAAAGAACCAAGACCGTATCTATTTATGTTTATTTATGGTCCCATTCTTCTCAGACAAAAGAAAGGCTCAGAGGACACAAGCCATTACTACCCTGCTGTCAAATTTTACCTCTTCGAGAAAGATAGAACAGTACCCAGCTAAGGAACGAAAGGATTCAAGGAGCTGTAATCTATCCATATTGTATTTTGAAAATAGTACAGGGGCAGCTGATCACATCAAGAATGTATAAGATAAGTCATTTTCCACAAAGGTGCCTAAACTACATATTGGGGCAAAAACATTGTCTTCAACAAATGGTGTTGGGAAAATGGATGTCTATGTTCAAAAGAATGAAGTTGAATGCTTACCTTTTATCACATATAAAAATTAACTCAAAATGAATCGAAGGTCTAAACATAAGAGCTAAAATTATAAAACTTAGCAGAAAACATAGGGAGAAAGTTCCATGGCTTTGGATTTGACAGTGATTTCTTGGATATGACACCAAAAGGACAGGCCACAGAAGCAAAAAAATAAAAAAAAATGTTATACCAACTTAAAAACTACAACAAAAGATGTAATAGAGTGGAAAGGCAACCTGTGAAATGGGAGAAGGTATTTATAAATTGTGTTGAGTATATAGTATATAGATTATATAATGGAATTTCTATGATTCAATAAGAGAAATCCAACTTAAAAAACGGGCAAAGGATATGAATAGACAGTTCTCTAAAGATATATGAATGGCTAATAAGCATTTGAAAAGATGCTCAATTTCACTAATCAGAGAAATGCCAATTAAAGCCACAATGAGATACCACTTCACACCCATTAGAATGGCCACGATCAGAACTATCTTGCAAAATTAACAACTGTTGGCAAGGATGCAAAGAGACTGGAACGATTGTGTGCTGTTGGTGGTAATGTAAAAGGGAACAGCCATTGTGGAAAATAATATGGAGGGTCCTCAAAAAAATTAAAAACAATTAATATATAATCCAGCAATCCCATTTCTGGGTATTTATCTAAAACAAAAATCGAAGCATATCTCAGAGATACCTACACATCCATGTTCATGTCAGCATTATTCAAATTAATCAAGATATGAAAACAACCCAACAGATGAATAAAGAAAATGTCGTAAAAACATCCAATTAAATATTATGCAGCCTTAGAAAAGAAGGAAATCCTGTTATATGCTACAGTGTAGATGAAGCTCAACAACATTGTATTAAGTGAAATAAGCTAGTTCCAAAAGAAAAAATACCATATTTTCCACTTACATAAAACATAGAAAGCAATCAAAATTATAGAAATATAAAGTAGAAAAGTGATTGCGGGGGGGGGAGGGGAAGAATTCTTGTTTAGGGGATAGAGATTTTCAGTGTTGCAATGTAAAGATGTTCTAGTCCTGGTTGATGTGGCTTAGTGGATTGAGCGCCAGCCAGTAAACTGAAAGGTCACTGGTTCTATTCCCAGAGGCAGGGCACATGCCCCGGTTGCAGGCCAGGTGCCTGCTTAGGGGCATGAGAGGCAACTGTTTCTTGCACAATGATGTTTCTCTCCTTCTCCATCTCCTTCACTTCCCTTCTCTCTAAAAATAAATAAATAAAATCTTTAAATAAAGATGCTCTAGAGATCAGTTGCGTAACAATGTGAATATATTAGGTACTACTGAACTGTACACTTAAAATAAGTAAGATGATAAACTTAATGTGTGTATTTTACTACAATAAAAAATGTGTAAGATGTAAAAACAGAACATTGCAACTCTGCAATGGCTCACGTAGGAGACATAGTTTGGAAAAGAAAGATGGAAACCTACTCTGTAAAAGCATGCTCTAGAAGACTGGAAAAAAATTCATAAATGTTTTGTACTGTGAATAATTATAGGAGAAATGAAATATATTAAATAAAGTTGAGATAATAATGGGATATAAGGAGAGATTTAGCAGATCAAATAACAAATTGAAGAAAACAATACCAATTAAGAGAAAAAGAAGATAAAACAATTCAAAAAAATAATAATTTAAGGACTGAGTGAAAATTCAACACAATGATGTCCATTGGTGTCTCTAAAGAAGATAACAAAAAAAGAAAAAATGTATAAAGCTGAACATGCAATTTAAATGGACATACCAAGTCCTAGGAAAAATTTCTATGTAATAATCAACACCCTGATGTATGTTGGTAATAGTACTGAACTTCAAAGAAAAAGAACAAATTGTACAGGCATCCATGCAGAAAAAGCAAAAATAAAAATCAGCAAAGGAACAGTCAGAGTAAAGGGAAGCCAAAGGAAATATAAGTGAGCTAATTTCATTTTTAGTGTTGATGAATCAAGAAATACATATGTAAGTATAGTACTTAAAATTATTTATCAGTTATTTATTATTATAGTACTAAGAGAGTTAAATTAGCCCTGACTGGTGTGGCTCAGTGGACTGAGTGCCGGCCTGTGAAGCCAAGGGTCATCGGTTTGATTCCCAATCAGGGCACATGTCTGGGTTGTGGTCCAGTTCCCCAGTTAGGGGCACACAAGAGGCAACCACACATTAATATTTCTCTGCCTCTCTTTCTCCCTGCCTTCCCCGCTGTCTAAAAATAAAATCTTTTTTTTTTAAGTTAAATTATAAAACATTAAAAATATTTAGAAAAATGGTAGGAACAGCAGGGGTATAGAGGGAGGAAGAAAAGAAAACAAAGTAAATTTGTAACAAATGAAAAAAATAGAATGAGAGAATGGAGAGTATATGAGCCTATATAAATAAATATGGATAAATTTACCTATTTTAAAAAACTCTTACTAGGTTAAAAAAACAACCTAGTCCCACTGTAGAGAGCAGACACATTGAAAATAAAATAATTCAGGGCAGAGTAAGGGGCACCAGTGTCATGTGACTGCCAGAAACCAGCAGAGCCGAGCTAGAGCGCAGTGCAAACAATAGTCGCCACCACTGGCGCCTGGACTAGAGTGCTGGCATTATTGCATTCGCAGGTTCAAGGCATCCCGGGGCCAGGCCTTTATTTCTTGTCTGCCGTGCTCAGCACTGCTCCTTGAAAAGCCAAACACCAGAGCACCCTAGGAAGTTTAACTAAAAGAAGGCTCATGTTTTAACCTCATCCCTGTCAAGCAAGAGACCATGGACCCTGTCTCAGTGTTACGCCCATCTAATTACATGGAGTCCATAAAGCCCAGCAACTATGGAGTCATCTACTCCCCACCATTATGCGGTAAACTCTTATAGGCCCCGAAGTCCTGTCGCATGGGATGCAAATGGTGCCAGTGGAACCTCACCATGAACAAGTGGAGTTCTCTGCCCTCAGCTGGGAATTCTTCCTTGCTAAAGTTCCAGTCCTCACACCGGAGAGCCTCACCCAGGCTGAGCATGGCGGTGTCCATGCTGCTGGTGATGGTCACTGCCCTGTCCCAGCACGGCATCTGGGGCCCGGGGATACTGCCGGTCATACCGCCAGTCATGGTGCAGCCCATCCCCTTTATGTACACCGGCCACCTACAGCAGTCGCTCATGGTGTTCTTGTCTGAGGAGATGGAAAATTCAAATAGTAGCATGCAAGTACCTGTAATTGAATGATATGAGAAGCCTGTATCACCGAAAAAAAATTAAAGGAGAACCTGGGGTCAAACCACAGAGAACAGATTATTATCCTGAAGACATGTCACCCCCTTTAATGAACTCAGTACGCCACTCCCCACCTCCCCACCCCCCCCCCCCCCCAACAGCATTGTTGCAAGAGAATCACCTTTCAGTCATCGTGCAGCCTGGGAAGAGACCTATACTTGTGAAATCTCCAGGCACCCAAAGAAAGTGGAAGATACACAGATGTGACTATGATGGATGCAACAAAGTGTACACTAAAAGCTCTCATTTGAAAGCACACAGAAGAACACATACAGGAGAAAAACCCTATACATGTTCATGGGAAGGATGCACATAGAAGTTTGCTCAGTCTGATGAACTAACAAGACATTTTTGAAAACATATTGGAATGAAACCTTTCCAGTGGCCAGACTGTGGTCGCAGCTTTTTCAGTTCTGACCACCTTGCCTTCCAAAGAAAACGCCACATGCTAGTTTCCATGTCTCCATCTCCTGCCTAGGCTTGCGCAGCTCCCCACTCGCCCATCTCTCTCTGTCCTCCCTCCCATTGTCTAACTCATTTTTTACATGTACTTTTTAATTTTGATTCAGCTGGTCTGAATCTGAATTTATATCACTCAGACTTCCATGTGGTCAGTAGAAAATACTCTAATCCTCCCTGTCGTTACCACGAGTCAGACCTAAAGAATGTGAACACTTTTTTTTTCCTGAGGATGCTAAGCAACCCTTCTTACAGATATGTTTAATGTAATGAGAACAAGGGAACACGTAAACTAACAACCAATTGTCAGTTTGTCCATGTATTCCTTAAAAGAAGTAAATGTATTAGAAATACAGTATCCAGCCTGGTAGCCCTTGCCTGCAACATACATATCTTTGAATCCTGTGATTGCATTTTGTGTTGCGCAGCAGAAAATGGGTGGATCCCTTCACAGTTAGCTAGAAGAGCAGCAAGAATCCAGGCTAGTAGTCAGCTTTTTCATTGTCCCTCACCAGTCCTGTGTCAGCTTGTATTTATCACATC